GCTGAACATGAGCCGGCAGTGTGCCCAGGCGGCCAAGAAGGCCAATAGCATCCTGGCCTGTATCAGAAATAGTGTGGCCAGCAGGAGCAGGGAAGTGATCGTGCCCCTATACTCAGCACTGGTGAGGCCGTACCTCGAATACTGTGTTCAGTTTTGGGCCCCTCACTACAAGAAAGACATTGAGGTGCTGGAGCGTGTCCAAAGAAGGGCAACAAAGCTGGTGAAGGGTCTAGAGAACAAGTCTGATGAGGAGCGGCTGAGGGAGCTGGGGTTGTTAGTCTGGAGAAAAGGAGGCTGAGGGGAGACCTTATTGCTCTCTACAACTACCTGAAAGGAGGTTGTAGCGAGGTGGGTGTCGGTCTCTTTTCCCAAGTAACAAGGGATAGGACAAGAAGAAATGGCCTCAAGTTGTGCCAGGGGAGGTTTAGATTGGATGTGAGGAAAAATTGTCAAGCATTGGAACAGGCTGCCTAGGGAAGTGGTTGAGTCACCACCCCTGGAGGTATTTAAAAGACGTGTAGACATGGTGCTTAGGGACAGGATTTAATGGTGGACTTGGCAGCGCTAGGTTAATGGTTGGACTTGATGATCTTAAAGGTCTTCTCCAAACTAAATGATTCTATGATTCACTTCAAAACAACATGAGTGCTCTGAAACAGGCTCTGAGGATTTGACCTGGATCCATCTGTAAAGGACAGCACCATGTATGTCACCTTTAGGTTCATCCAGGATCATTTAGCAAGTTAGGATCACCTTTCAAAATCCTAGTTGTAGATCAAGATACTTACGCTTCCACACACACTAAGTCCCACTTTAGGCATATAAATCTTCTGCCACAGGGCTCTGGTATCTCAGTTCACCAGCCAGTGCTGCAAAGGGGTTAAATGGATCAGTGACTTTTCTTGCTCACACAGAACCTGCTCACAGTGTTCTTTTGTGGAAACCTTCAAGAAAGAGTGATTCATCTCCAGGTTTCATCATATGGGGCTTTGTTAATTGTAAAGACATATATGTTACATACACATCTTCTGATACTGCTTGGTACTCCTTGCAAAGTAGTTGTTTATCTCTTTGCTTTATTGCTTCTCATATTCCACTGGTGCTCTTTATTTCTGCCGCCCTATCAGTGATTAAAGTAAACTTGAACTACTTGCTTGCTGAGAACTTACTTTCTGGTCATTCAGTACTTCACTTTGTAAAATGTATCTGCTTTTGTTGCAAGGCAAAATTTGTAGCTATAAATAGCTAAGGAAAGTTTTTTGGTTTGTTTTTTTTCCCCCCCCCCAAAGCATCTAATATTGACCTTATATTCTTAGTTTGGGTCTCTATAAAGCAACAAGCCATGCCTAACTGTTCTTTCAGCTTCTTCCACTCTTAGGTAGGCAGTGCCTATTACCAAGCATTCCAAATCTCTGTTACTGCTTTTTTAGTATCACTGTCTCTTGAGGTTTGGAGAATTAGCGTGGCTTTATGAAAACTCATCTGTTTCAGAACAACAACTATGGCGCTATGTACCCTTTAGCTTTTCTTGCTGTGAACAGCCTGCAAATGTACCCATTTCTAACATGAATCCTGTTTATTTACCCTTTGTTAAGGAAAGTGGGACTCGCAGCCTTGTGTCTCTAAACATCCAGGTGACTTGTGCTCCTCTAGAAAATCCAGGAATGCGAAGAGTCTTTCTCCTTATGCAAATAGCTTCTCTTGCAAATAATATCTGTTTGCATTCAGGCCAAGTTTCCCCATGAAGGCTGTTCCAGGGTGTCAAGAGAGCCTTTCTTTTTAGTGGCTTTAGGACCTTGTAGATGAATAAGAAAGTCTTTAGTGCCAAAATTACTAGCCTTGGCAGGGATACTGTCTGTACTAGGGAAAATGCAAAGCAAGCTACTTACTGTACTGCTCCCCTTGAGCATTAGACAAATAATTGTACCACAGATTCATGGGTGTTACAACTTTCTGAGTCTGGAGCTGATACCACTAGGATTTCCTTGTTTTTTACAGCAAATACTAAATTCCTAATCTGGGACTCTGCAGTCTGGGAAACGTGCAGCTGCAGCCCTTGTAATATATATAGGTTTTGTTGCTTGCATTATGTTTGTAAATTCTCCTAGATTTTTAGTTTTAGCTTTTCACTTATTTATTTGAAGGCAACAGACACTATTGGAGGAAGGAGAGATTCCTTGGTTACAGTACCGGGAAGAAGTAGAAAGTAGCAGTGATGGGCAAAACAATCCAGTTAGTGATTTTGCGCATCCTGAATTCTTCCTGTTGGATGGAAATAACAACCTTGAGGATGACTCCAGTGTGAGTGAAGACCTGGATGTGGAGTGGAGGTATGCCTTTGATAGTTTTCTGCATTAATTTCAGAGGTTTTGTAGTTACTGTTTTGGTTTTTATGTAAGATGTCAAATATACTCATGGCTATCAGTATGCACTTGCTTCAAAGGCTGATAATCTGAGTTTTAAGGCTTAATGTACTTCAAGTGCTATGTTTCTTCTAACGAGAGAAAAAGGATGTACATTTGCTAAATCAGGCTGTGATCTCAGAAAATTCTGGTACACTAAATATTCAAGGGGTGGGTGTACTTTTTCAATTAATTTTCAAGATTATAAGTATAGTGGAAGTATAACAAAAGTAAAGCAATATGAATGTAATCAGCATTTAAGTCAGTGCAATTTTATAATTGGTCTTTTCCTCTTTTGCAACTGGTGTAAGTTAGATGTTATAAGCCTATTTTATTTCTCTTTGAAATGCCATGCGCTTACCTAATATTGTCATAATTTTGAATGCTTCGATCAATTTTCTGTCATTAGATCACTGAAGAATATTGCAATATATTTATTACAAAAATTCTGCAAATACCAGGAAGCATGTGATCGGAGCCACGTGCACAGCCTAATCCTAGAATAGTATAGTGCCTTTGTTTTAAAGTAAGAGTGAGCTAGACAGAATGCTTTCCACTGAGAGACTTAACATTTGCTCTCTTCTGCTTATTAAAAATATTATAAACTACAGTATAGACATACCAAAACCAGTGGTATTTTCTCCTTGTGAAGTTATATTCTGAAAAAGCACAACATGGACTAATGCATGAGAGTCCAAGCTAGAAGTAAGGCACCTGTTCTTACGGTGCCAGGCAGCAAGCTAGCAAACGAATTGTAGGATTTTTAAGTGTTGGAGGTTAGCCTTGGTAAGCTTCCTAATTACTCAAAATAGGAGGGAAGATGCTTCTCTAATAGTCTGTTCAATTTCCTGTTGAGCATACGCAGATCTGTACATGATTTTGCTTGTGCCCGTTTTAAGATTTGATCTCTGAATGTTGAAAACAGAACTCAAAGCAGCCGCCAAGCTATGAACTGTGACACATGATGTAATAAAAATCTGAATGCTAGTTGTAAAATGAGTTTAATAGCATACATACAAAATTTATTAGCTGGGCTGTGTGCCCTTTTACTCTGGAGTAGTCAACAGTAAAAGCTCCCATCATGTTCTTCTGAAGTCTGTATTGTCTTGAGAGTACGGCTGTACTGGGAGCAGGTGCTGGCAGGGGGGCTGCAGGGCGGCCTCTGTGAGGAGAGGCTGGGGCTGCCCTGTGTGGGACACAGCTGGCTCCAGTGGACCCACTGCAGGGTGGTGTCTCCTGGGAAAGTGTATTTAAGAAAGGGTAAAAAAATGCTGCACAGCAGAGTGTGAGAGAGGAGGGAGGATGATGTGAGAGAAACACCCCTGCAGACACTAAGGTCAGAGAAGAAGCGGGAGGAGGTGCTCCAGGTGCTGGAGGAGAGATTCCCTTGCAGCCCCTGGAGAAGACCACACTGGAGCAGGTAGGTATTTGCTGAAGGAACTGTGCCTGTAGAGAGCCCACACTGGAGCAGTTAGCGAAGGGCTGCAGCTTGTGTGAAAGACCTACACAGAAGCAGGTTTGTCCTGAAGGACAGCAGCCTGTGGGAGGGACCCCACACTGGAGCAGTGTGAGGAGTAAGGAGTGGCAGAGAGGCACTGCAATGAACTGACCACAACCCCTATTCCCTCTCCCCTCTACACTGTTTGGGGTAGGGGGACATAGAGGAGTCAGGAATGAAGGAGTGAAGTTGAGCCTGGGAGGAGAGGGAGGGCTAAAGGGAAGGTGTTTTAGTTTTTGTCTTTGTTTCTCACCATCCAAATCCATTTTTATTGGCAATAAATTCATAGAATCATAGAACAGCCTAGGTTGGAAGGGACCTCAAAAGATCATCTGGTTCAACCTTTCAGTTAAATTAAGGTTCCCCCTTAAGCTGAGACCGTATTGCCTGTGATGGTGATTGGTGAGTGATGTCCCTGTCTTTTCTCGACCCACGAGGTTTCAGTCTTATTTATGTCCCCGTCCAGTTGAGGTGGGGGAGTGAGAGAGTGGCTAGGTGGGTATGTGGCAGCCAGCCAAGATCAACCCAACACAACCACCTCATGAGAGTATATGCACACAGTTGTTAACAGGTGACGTGCAGTAATTTGATGTACCCAGCCTTCGTGTTATTACTATTTACTTTGAAATGAAGACCATCTTTCCTAACTCATGTTTTTCAGACTACTTGATGAGTTTGGTGATGGCCTAGGACTTGCTCAAGCCACTCCTTCTGTGGATCCTCAGTTTCTCTCATTTGTGGCACTAGAGGGACGCTTACAACAAGCTATGGAGGTATTAAAATATTCTTGGTGGTATTATATCAGTGATGTTGTGACATAAGTTTTTATTATTGAATCCTTTTTCAGCACAATCTGAAAATCAGGAAAGTCAGGGAAAAAATTACTTTCCTGTTTTATCTTGAACTTTCAGGTCTGCAAGCTTGAAAATAAATGTTGAAAGCTCTGTTAAATGATGTAGTGCAAGAAGTCATTGATCAGTGCTACTCCTTTTAGAATATGTATTTATTTTCTCTTAAAGGAAAAAATTATACTGATTTCTACCAGTATAAACATATGCTATTTAAATTATTCTAAAGAATGTTGCCAAATTCCCTACATAATAAAGGAAAGTTCATACCTGGATCTGTGCCTATGAATTGTCCCAGCTTTTTTTTTGTAAGAGTACAATTGGATGTCTCATTTTTATTCCTCAGTAGAAGACTTCTGTGTTTGACTCGACTCCATGTGTTTTAAATTTAAAAAAAAAAAAAACAAACAAAAACCAAACAATCCAAAAGCAAAAACGCTTTTTATCTTTACCTTGTTCTAATCTCATTTTATCTAACTTTGGATAAACCAGGGCTTTTATAACCAAGAACAAGCATGGTTATGATCTTTGTCTTTTCTGTGTTACATGATGTTGGTCACTGTCAGAGTGAATATGGAGCTGGCTGAAATTCACTTTGATGCAATGCGACAACTCTTGCACTGCCAGAAGTCTCCCCTACAGGGTATTTGTCAAAAGAAGAGTTAAACAATGTGTAGACATATAATATGGTGTAACAACAATTAAATTGAATGTTTTGTGTGTGACATAAGTTTAGGGGCATCAAGGGGCAGTTTGACTACTAGCTCTTAGTTAAAAGGGGTGAACAGGGCAGACTGTATGTCATAGTGTGCTTGCAGACAAAATACCAAGGATGCTTTAAAATGCTTTCTGAAGCTGACATTCAGTGGAACAATCATAGATAATCTTTTCTTTCCATGGATATGTGCAAAATCAATGATTTTGTGAATAAACTTCAGGCGATTTTCCAAGGAGGTGGAAGGGTTGTTCCCCGAAGTTGGCAGTCATTCAATTTCCAGGTATTGTGCATCCCCCAAGGTATATGGGAGGTCAGCCTTATTCATGATCAAGTACCATAGGGTCTTCTCCAGCTGTGTAGGATCTTGTTAGCATTACTCCTCTGGAGACACTTCAGAACTGTTTATTAATGTGTAGGAGGTCTGTTGATATCCTTAGTATAAAAGCAGTATTTTGAAATTGCATAGAGAAAATTCCTTGTCTCTTTCAGAGCTGCTGGTTCTAACTACATCAAAAAGGACAGAACTACAGAAGCAGTTGACCTCCTCCTTTGCACCAAAGGAAGAGGATCTGTGTAGAGAGGGGAAACTAATCCCATCTTTTCTTTTTTTTTAATCAATATGTTAACACTTGAAGAGGAGACTGAGGTTATTATAGCTCTGAGTTTTTCTTTCTCATTACTGTGTAACAACATTTCCCTAGTTACTCTGTCAGAAGAAACGTGTGGACTCTTTTCAGGCTTGACCTGTAAAAGCAATCCTAGGTGGCTGTGTGCATGGCTGGCTGAGAAGATGCTGTAATTATGTTAGTGTCACTAGGAACGGAGTGTCATTGAACACACTTGGCAAGCAGGTAGATGACTACAGAGGTAGTTATTCTCTGGTACCCGTGGTATAGGTCACTGTGGATGTTGGACAAGAGGGAAAGCCAGTTCTCTTAAATAGTATTTGTGCTTGAAATTAGCCCTTAGGTGCCTGAAACTTTATGGTGGGCATAGAAGTTTGGCATAACTGGAATTAGTCAGCAGAAAATGGTAACTGAGTAGTAAAAGGAACAGCTGTATTAACTGTGACTGAATGGACAGCACAGGTTTTGAGTAAGAATTATAAATATTTCCTCCAAATCTCAAGCAGAATATATATAACACCTCTCTTCCAGTGTGAAGATGGTTACTAAAAATTCCGAAAATAAGAGCAAGGATTACCCAAAACAGTTCAACATTTCTCTTAGGCAATATTGCAAGTATTTCTGGAAGTTGAGAGAAAGTGGGCAAAAAAAAAAAAGGCTCTGTAATGTCTGTCTCTCCAGAATTAATTTTAATTGTTTGCTGAGATCCTGTCTTTTAATGACCACAGCAAGATGTGGGCAGGATCAGAATATGTTTTCTGCTTTCTAGAAAATAGGACTTGCAAATGGCTAGTCCAGTGTAATCTCGTAATATAATATAATGTGACCCTGTCCCTCACTAGATTAACATAGACTAGAAACTTGTGTTCCTGGAAGGATGTTCAGAACAGCCTTTAAACACAACTTCCCTGGTTGTCAGACAATTGTAGATGAAGATGTAGAAGTGTGTTCCACAGATTTAAAAATGTGAAGTCTTTCATTGAAATAGTAAGCATCTCGTAGTGTTACAAAACCTTTTCCTTATCTTTGGTACTGTGGTAACAGTGCTTGCTCAGATATCCAAAATGTGGCATACCGCGTTTGGGGGGGGAGGGAGGGGGGGAATTCTTTTTTAAAAAATGTTTTATTTTGTGATTCAAAGACCAAACTGAACTAACTTTTCAAGTTTGGGTAAGAGAGATTGTTGAAAATGTCTTTGCTTTCTGCTAGAAAATGCAATTTCTGATTTTCCATTTATAGGGTGTATAGAAAATGTTTGTAATATGACGATTTTTGTTCTGTAGTTTGTTGCAACTGTCTATATGTATCGAGTAGGGAGTTAGAGATCACTGTGAGGGATATCTTAGTAACTAAGGTCAAGGTGATCAGGCTTGAGAGCTCTTTGAGGGAAGTGAGAATTGAAGCTAGTTGTCTTTCTTCCTCATGATTGGTATTTTATGCTCCTCATCCCTCTCCCCAAGATTAAAGGGAGTGATTTCATCTGTTTTTGACATAGTTCATCTTACTTTGGGGATCAGGAGTTGTTCTGCTAGGTATTTTACTGCAGGATGATTAGATTTCAGTTTCATCAGATACCTTTCCTGCTTGTTCTACAACTTTTGTTCTCACCTTCCAGATCTTAGTGCTTGCACATGTGTTTTCTTTCTCTGAATAACTATACCCCAAGCTGGTTTGCCACTTTGCAGTTACATATTATCTATATATTTATACTCAGCTTTCTAACAGGCTACTTGTTGCCAGTTATGCTGTTTTAGTATTATTTAGATCTGGCTTTAGGGCAAACAGCTATTACTTAAATCTTGCTTAGTCTGGTTCTACCTTATAGGTGCAACATAACTCTGCTTTTGCTTCAAGTTTAAAAAGTAACCCATCTGCTTCCTGGTAACAAGTATTTTTGCACCGGAGGTTTTGTAATGGAGAAGCCTGAGCTTTGACTAGCTTTAAGTATTATTCTGATTTGATGAACAGATTGGGTTGAGTTTAATGATAATGTCATTAATAATCTATCTAATGAATGTGACTTTATTCAACCTGTTACTGATTTACTTAATCCACCTCCTTAAGTTTCCCAAAATTCTCTTATCTAAAATAGTAGATTCATTAACCAGATCTTTTTCACCTGTAACAATGTAATTTATTATGAGAGCCTATTATAGCTCAGAAAATTTTCTGAAAATTTCTTTATCCAGCAAACTAATTTACTGTAGCTATGGAATAGTTGAAAGGGATGAGACTTGATAATGCATCCAAAATTCAAGTGTATCTTAATTGGGAGGGGGGGATTTGTCCCAATTAATTGTGGCATTTGGAGGGGAAACATAGTGAATATTTTTTTTTTTTAAACTATATTCTATAAGACTCTGGGATCCTAAAATGTAGTAACCTGTATGTGTGACTTTTTTTTTTTACTTCCATTTGTTTTAAAGATATTACTTAGCTGGGAGTGTTTGGTTTACTTCATCAGCAGTGTAGAACAGGCTGAGTGTCTCTACAGTGTCAGTGACTTCATTTATGAATATTTCCTGTGCCGATTTACAGATGTGAGAAGCTCAAACTCCTGTAGGCTATAGCACTCCTGTTTCTAGCAGTGTCCAGCTTTTGGTTTATGGTACATGGAGCAGTAAGCAGTCGCACAAGTAATAAGAGGAAGGAAATAAAGATATCTTATAAAAGTTGCAAAGTGGAGACTTCTTTGCTCTGCTTTGGTTTTGAAGATGTGGTTTTAAGCATCAGAGTCATTGTGAGGCTTTCTGTCTGTAGTGTTTCTTTTGCGTAGCTTTCAAAAGCAAACAATACAATTTGCTTCTGCAAATTGTTTTCTGTTTGAGTGCTGGATACAGACACAGAGGTTTGACACATAGGTAATATTGCATTCTTCTGTCTGCCTGGGATCTTATCTAATTTTTCCAGCTGTAGTAGTTAACCTAATTAAACATTGTATTTTTACCTACAAGTTATTCTCAGACCATTGCAGCTGTAGCAAAACACCATTACAAATACTAAAATCACCTTAATGTTAGTAAGGCAGTATTGTCTGCTGTAAGAGAATTGAATGTTTTTAAGCTGTTAAATTGGAGGAGTGTACCTGTTTTGCAGATGGACTTGCGTACTGCAGTAGGGATAACTGTCCCAGGATCTCCTTTAAATTAGTAGATTTCTAGATGAGAATATGTGTGGCAGTAGGAGCTGTAAATATTTGTCTGTTAGCTCATGCTGATCTCTCTGCTGCCACAAACATTTGGCTGTAGGTGTAAACCTGCTAGTTTAGATCTATGGTCAGATAATTGCCTGAGCTACCTTGCCACTGTGAAAAAAGTGCAGGCCTGTTTTCAGACTTCAACTCTAACTTTCTGAAAAGTTTAAGAGGAAACACTACTGAAGATGTTTGTATATAATCCAATGTTTCTTTAGTATATTTTTGTTTTTTAGTTGAGTGTACCCCTAACACTACAAAAATGTCATGTTATCTTAAACTTCTTACCAAGGGAGTTTTGTGGCCATTAGAATAAATAATTTTCATGCTGATTAGAGCAGTAAGTAGTTGTACTTGAGGGGTGTGACTAGTTCATTCAGGATATGAACTCAGTGCTTCTGTGTTCTTGGCTTTTCAGTATCGGTCTGTTCTGCTGTTCAGACAGGTATATCTAGCACATTGCTTAGTGAATATAACCAATCTGAGTTCTGTGTTGCGTTTTTTTCTACTGGAGATCCTTGCAGTGTCTAATGGGGTTGAACGTATGATGTAAACATCAAATCTACCAGCTGTAGCATTGGAGTCTTAAATTTTTCACCATACAAAAATCTTTAAGTTTCAAACAAGATGACTTCAGAGCACTACTTTTGTCTTAAGTCATTATACAGATGAGAAATATCTATGTGGATCCTGGGTTTTTTTTTTCTGAAAGCTTACATTGGTAGTATAGCGAGGTACTTAATATTTTTGTTTGTACCTGAGCAATTCAATAGTTGAAGCCAGTTAACACATTAATGAGGCTTTTATCTTCAGAAAGCAAAATGTAATGACAGTTTTGTATTAGTAAGCTTTATTACATTTATGACTTGCTGCCTTTTCTGAAACTTTATGAAATTAACAAATGTTCATTGAAGAATAAGTTGTGACTCTGTCCTGATACTTTAAGAAGGTTTAAAAAACAAGCTGTTACTGTTTCGACCTTCAGTTTCATCTCATTCATTATGAAAATAAAAATGATGTCATGGTTAGTCTGACAGACATACCTTCCATTTAAGAAAGCAATAGAATTAGATTCATTTTCTTGATTATTTGTTTTTATATGGGATGTTACATTTGTGAGTAAGAGAACTTGGTCTCTGCTCACTCCTTTCAGACTGCTCTGGCACATTTGGAGTCTCTTGGATTTGATGTTGAACAGGCTCAACCACCAGCTACTAAAGAAACTATAGATTGTCTGCCACAGATTATCGTCACAGATGACCATGATGGTATGGAAAAATAATTAAGAATTAATTTCCACAACGTTTATAAGAACGAATTTAGCTTTCTGTAATACCATAGATGCAGTATTTAAACATACTTACTGTGCAGCTGGCAATGCTGTTCTAAGAGCTTTTGAATCTTGAATCAGACTGAATATAACTTTGGTCATTTTTGAAAACTAATGTTTAGTGGAATAAGTGTGATTGTATTTTGTAATCATTAGTGATACTGTTGATAATATATGTATTTTAATTTCAGCTCATCTTAGATGTAAAACAAGGTAATAATAATAATGTGTTTTCTTCATCATAGGTGTAGGTCAAGAGCAGTGTTGTACTATCTGTTGCAGTGAATATGTGAATGATGAAATCATAACAGAGCTACCCTGTCATCATTTGTTTCACAAACCTTGTGTAACTCTTTGGCTACAGACAGTAAGTACTACAGGATTGGTGGGGTTTTTGTGGGGTTTTTTGAGTATTTGCATTCTTCTGGGAAGAACAGTTTGTAACTTTTTGAAAATGTGGGATGAAATACCAAGAAATAACTGGCTGTTAATTTTATGCGTTAGGGAACCAAATTCTAGTGCAAGTGAACAAAGTAATTTTTATCTCTACTCACCTGAAGGGCAATTTCTTGAATAGAGGGGGTATTTGTGTGAGGAAAAACATGGCCTGCTTTCAGTAAGAATGAAAGAGATGGATGAGTTATAACTTGTTTTGGTATGAGAAAAGCTTTCTTTGCTGTACTCATACCCTGAGGTAAAGAAGATGGCTTGTTTTCCTCTGAGAAGAGCAAAGGATCTGATCTGTCTTGCCAGAATGTCAGGCCCATTTATGGTGACAGCTAAGGTTGGTGGGAGAAATACTGGAATGCTTGTAGATCAATTTAAAGAATTTACCTTTGGTAAATCTATGTTGTATTAGATTTCATTTTCATAATCTGTAACCAGTTTCCTTCCAAATGTCTTAAAAAGGCTTACATCGTATTGAGGCTAGACTAAAAGAACTGTAATTAATGAATTGGTATTTTTTTCCTTGCACTTGCACTCTGCTTTACGCACAGTGTGAGCCTGAACTAGCACTTGCTAGTTCTCAGTGAGCCTACAGTTTAACACATCATTTCCTCAAGAGGTACAAGAGGAAGATTAATTGATTCAGACTAGGGAGATCAGAACACCTCTAGCATGGGTTGTTGGTGGGGTTTTTTCGTTTTTTTTTTTAACCTTGATAATGTTGATTACCATGTTGATATTGTTTGTATTATATGTCTTGCCTTTTTCCACTGTTACAGTAAACTAGTCTTGCTGAAAACTAGGACAAAATACTTCCTGTTAGATTTGGGCTGTACCTAGTTTATATTTAATCCTTGCCTCAAAAAAAAAAAAAATCCCACCTGTAAAATCAATTCTTTGAGGAAGACCTTGCAGAGAGCCTGATGTATCTGCTGTGTGACTGGTGTAAAAGCAAAACAAAGCTTTCTTCTGAGATTGTTAGCTGTCTCTTAGCTCCAGGTAGCCTTCCAGTCAAATTTGACTTTGAGACAGTGCTGTTGTGAAGACATTAAATACTTTGTAAATAATAACCTTTAGCTTTTCAACAGAATTGAATGCAAACTGTGCAAATGCCTGGGTTTTTTTTTCTTTTTTTTTTAGTCGGGAACATGCCCAGTTTGTCGACATGTACTTGCACCCGTGCTTCCTGAAGCAGCTGCTGCCACTGTTTCCTTTCTATCTGATCATGATTCTGGATCTTCTGTTCACAGTGCTACAGAAGCTTCAAACTAGGGTCTGAAATTATGTCTTTGCCACCAAAATAAAAATGTAAATTTTTCCTGTTTAATTACAATGTGAAAACAATTATGTATAAAATATTATATGTGAAATACTATCTATATTCTATATATTAGTTTAGAAAGAGGGTGCAAGACTTTCTAAACTCTTCAGATTTACAATAATAGCTTAAATTTTCAAACTGTAAGTTGGAAGAACGTGCAGCCTTTTTTTCTTAGCAGAATGTTGATGGTAACTGTAATGTCTAAAGCTTGTATTATGATAAATTTTTCCAAAAAGATAATTAATGTGGCACTTTGTTCAAGTTCTTGCAGCTGCAGTGTAGTTGCAGCTTATTAAAGTTAGGCTTATAATCAGCAATGTAACTGAACTATTTGGTTTGGTGCCACTGAGTGACTTTGTAATTGATCTCTCATATTTGCATCAAATGTGAAGATGTTCTGTGATGCCAGCAGTGGTAGAATTTGATTTCCCTGGAAACTAATTGCATAATGGAATGGTATTTCTTGCCAGTTTATTCCATAATAAACTTTTTTCTTAATGTCAGAAGTGCTATTAAATTGCTGCTGGTTTTTTTATAAGTGCAGAATTTATACTAATCCAAGAATTGCTATAATCTTCTGCATCTCTATTACAAACTAGTGCTGTGGAGAAGGTTGATCGATGGCTACTAACTACCTCAGACAACAAAATAGTAATGCAACCTTTAAAGCTCTTCTAAGGTGTGTATGGAATGCATGTAGATTTAAGAGAAAGTGGAAATGTAGACATCTGTATTGCTTGCAGGGGACTTAGTAGTATCAAACTTGTTCTTTGTTAGGGCCTTTTATTCTTCAGTAGCTCCCCTTGCAGCAAACGTTACAGGTATTTTAACCAGCCCCTGTACTCTGTTTCTCTCTGGAACAGCACAATATATGTTGGCCTTCATTTAATCTCTTAAGCACAGTGTTTTATAAAGAGAATTACTTTAACTTCTGTGGCAAGACTTGGAAATCCTCTTGCTAGAAGCTTTTGATTCCAGACTTAACCAGCAGTGTAAAGAGCTAAGCTAGAAGCTTTTTTCCCTCCTTTTGTTATCTGTTGTTGGCCTCAGCTCTGTCTTGTTCCTATTTCTAAACAGCTGTCTAAAAGAAGAGTGTTCATGTTCTCTTTTTTCTTTTTTTTTTAACTTGAATGTAGAGGTCTTATTTGCAGATCTTTCCTGGCTCTTCATCTGAGGAAATAGCAGATGAAAGGTCTTTCTAATGAGGTGTCTGAAAAAGCATATGCCAGGTCATACTCAAAAGATTACCAGTAGAAGTGTTTAACACAAAATAGAAAGTAAAGAAATCCAAAACTTTGGATCATGTCCAAATGCTTGTTGTGATTTTTTTTTTTTGGTAAATGAAGTCATAACAGATTCTGTGCAGATTCTGTGGTTCCTGCTTCAAATATAAAATTGTTTGGTTAAAATGGGCCTAGTTCTTGAAAAGGCCCTGTAAAGTATAATGTTTTCCTAGAATAATAAATTAAATTTTCTTTTGCTCAAAGAGAACTCTCAAGTAAAAGAACTCTTAGCTGCAAGGAAGAAAATCTTCTTTCCCCATGTTAGGTAAAACCAAGCATTCCACAAGGATGAGAAAGCAAATATGAAAAATAAACTTGTTTCTGTTAAAGGTTCATGTTGTCTGTACATGCACTGGTACATTAGAAGCATCTTAACTATGTGACGTAAATGGAATTCATTTTAATATTTCCACAAAACTTTTTCATTACAAAGTTAACATGCTTTTTTTTGCCTTTAAAAAACCCAACAACAGAGCCTTTTTAATGTTTTGTGTCCTCCTTTCAAATTCTGGCAGGTTTTGAACAGATAAATTACCTGTTTTGGCTATTAGACACACAGGTAACAGATTTTTCTTAAATAGCCATAATGAAAGCAAGTAATGTAGTGTAAAAAGAACCTCCCTTCATATCAAAGGGGAAGTCCCCTTAGTTCTTGTGCCTGTTTACATCTTAAGATTTTGGTTAAGGTTACTCAGGGAGCTGTCTCGTAACAGTCACAGCTCTGCAGACACCTTCCTTATTATACAATGCAGAAAGCTCCTATTTCCCCCTGTGTTTCCTTATTCTGTGCTTGATTGAACACCTGAGGAAAACCAACCTTTCTATTTGCTTTTTTTAATTGCTATAGAATCATAGAATCATTAAGGTTGGAAGAGACCTCCAAGATCATCGAGTCCAACCATCAACCCAACACCACCATGCCCACTAAACCATGTCCCTAAGCGCCTCATCTACCCGTCTTTTAAATACTTCCAGGGATGGTGACTCAACCACTTCCCTGGGC